GTAGAGAAAGATTAGAGCTATATTCTGAAAAAAAGATAGTTCGAAATGCATAAATCCATAACAATGTTATGATCATTTTACTAATCTTGAGTGAAAATTTTTAAGTGACATTTTTTTCAAAAACAAAAAATTGCTTGTAACATCCTAAGCGACATATTGTTTTCTAGATATTTTTATATAGTTCGATAGAGTTCGACAAGCTCTACAAGAATATGAATTTTAGGGTGTGGGTGTAGGGTGTGGGTTGTGGGTGTGGGGTGTGGGTGTGGGTGGGTGTGGGTGTGGGTGTGGGTGTGGGTGTGGGTGTGGGCGTGGGCGTGGGTGTGGGTGTGTGGGTGTGGGTGTTTTCCACCTCATATCCACACATCCACACCCACTCCTACACCCACACCCGCCACCCCACACTCACACCCACATCCACACCACAACCACACCCACACCCCACACCCACACCCACCCACACCCACATCCATACCCACACCCCACACTCACACCCACCCACACCCACACCCTTCCTAATGTTTCCGAGGGGACCACAGCTTTTTTCGAAACATACAGTAAAAATGTTATATCTCACCAGTAAGAAGCTAACAGCACGAATTTTTTTTTCCAAAGGTTCATAGATCATTAGGGCTTACATGACGCCTATACTCTCGACTCAAAAGCGATGTGACAGTAGGGAATGTTCCCTCGTAAGTGCTCCTACATACATTAGGACGGCTTCTTATCATGATATAGGACATTGCTCAAACTTTATCTGAAGATAAAATACTTTTATTTCTATCATTAGATAGCCCATCCTCAATAGTATATATGGTGAAAAAATCTCAGGAATAACTCTTATAGTTCTTGAGAAAATCAAGCTATACTAGAAAGTGATGCACTAAAAAATTGATACATTTTTTAAAAAGTAGCAATACTTTTGAGTGGTATATCTCGAGAATGGTTAATCTGTTTGAGTTGAAACTTTCAGATTATTACTAACTTGGCAAGAGCTATTTACTGTAAAAAAGAAAAAAAAATGGTTGAATCGATTGAGCAAGGTTCAATAGAATGTGGTCGTGGCTTAGGTGCAATGCCTCCTAAACAACAAATATCAAGTAAGCGAATTTCAATTCAACGGATTAGCTTTTATCTATTCTGGACATACGTATTTTACTAGTGTTGTTTTATATTAAAGCAATCATTACTGATAGATCCGATTCTGATTTTCTTTTCTTGAATTGACTCAATTTGAACAACTATAGAAGGTTAAGCCAACTGATGACGCCCTTCAGCAAAGACGAAACCGATATTGGCAAACTGAACTCACACACTCTCATTCTTCGAAACGTCGACATTGAAATAAGTATTTAAAAAGAAAATGGATTTTGCTGCTGTAAAATATCTGATGTTCATTGTCCGACTAGTTTGGCTATGCCCCTGCGTATACTGTAGTAGGCTTAGGGGGATCTCCTGAGTCGTGCGCGCGCGAATAAATATATATGCATGTAAGCCTAGAAGCGAGGTGAGGAATCGACAAGCGGGTTGATTTCAGCAGGTGAATTCACAGTGGAGTAAATAAAAACGAGCAGAAACAAAATTATATTTTCTTTTTTACTATGTCTATGGTCTGCTTGACAGCTTTAATGTTGGGATGCGTCGGAGGAAGCGAATTTTGCAAGATAGCAAGTGCTTTTTCTAGAAATACAACTGCTTGCGAATAATCACCCTTGGCGTAGTAGGTCGATCCGATGTTGTTGTAGGAAGTTGCCAAATCGGGATGAGTCGGAGGAAGAGCTTGTTCTCGTATTTTAAGTGCCTTTTCGTGAAATTCAAAAGCTTTCACATAGTTAGCCATGTCCTTATACAGTGAAGCGATGTTGCTGTAAGAAGCAGCCAACGTAGGATGAGTCGGAGGAAAAGCTGTTTCTCGTATTTGAAGTGCTTTTTTGTGAAATTCCAATGCTTTTTCATAGTTCCTCATCTTCACATACACTGAAGCCATGTTGCTATAAGAAGCAGCTAAATCGGGATGATTCGAGGGAAGAGCTTTTTCTTGTACTTTCAATGTTTTTTCGAAGAGTTCAGCTGCTTTCGCATAGTCACCCACATTATAATACACTACAGCGATGTTGCCGCGAGAAGCAGCCAAATTTGGATGATTCGCAGGAAGGGCTATCTCTTGAATTTTAAGTGATTTTTCGTAAAATTCAAGTGCTTTCTCATAGTTACCCATCTTGTCATGCACTCCTCCGATATTGTTGTAGGAAGTTGCAAGATGGGGATGATTCGACGGCAGAGATTTTTCATTGATTTGAAGTGCTTTTTCGTGAAATTCAAGTGCTTTCGCATAATTACCCCTGCACTCATACACTGAAGCGATGTTGTTGTAGGAGTTAGCCAAATCGGGATGAGTCAGAGGAAGAGCTTGTTCTCGTATTTTAAGTGCCTTTTCGTGAAATTCAAGTGCTTTCGCATAGTTCCCCATTTTGAAATACACCAGAGCGATATTGTTGTAGGAAGTAGCCAAATCGGGATGAGTCGGAGAAAGAGCTATTTCTCGTGTTTTAAGTGCCCTTTCGTAAAATTCAAGTGCTTTCGCGTAGTCACCCATGTTGTAATACACTACTCCTATGTGGCTGTTGGAAGTGGCAATGCATTGATGGGTTGGAGGAAGAGTTATTTCATAAATTTCAAGTGCTCTTTTGTAAAATGCAAGCGCTTTCATTGAATTACGCATGCCGTTATACACTGAAGCAATGCTGTCGTAGGAAGTAGCCAACTCAGAATGAGTCGGAGGAAGAACTGTTTCTCGTATTCTGAGTGCCTTTTCGTAAAATTCAAGTGCTTTCCCGTAGTTACCTATCCTCTCATACGTTTCTCCAATGCTGTTGTAGGAAGTTGCGAAATGTGGATGATTCGGAGGTAGAGCTTTTTCGAGGATTTTAAGTGCCTTTTCGTAAAATTCAAGTGCTTTCGAGTAGTCACCCATGTCGGCATACACTTTACCGATGTTGTGGTAGGAACCAGCCAAATCGGGATGATTCGGAGGTAGAACTTCTCTTATTTTAAGTGCGTTTTCGTGAAATTCAAGTGCTTTCGCGTAGTCACCCATGTGGGAGTATACTACAGCCACGTTGCTGTAAGAAGTAGCCAAATCGGGATTAGTTGAAGGAAGAAGTTTTTCTTTAATTTCAAGTGATTTTTGGTAAAATTCGAGTGCTTTCGTGTAGTCACCCATGTGGCTATACACTAAACCAATATTACTGTATATAGGACCCAATGTAGGGTCATCTTCCTTTACCGTTTTCCGATGGATCTCTAGTGACTGCTCGTGAAATGAAGCGGCTTTTTCGTATTGTCCTTGATGAATGTATATCGCTCCAAGTTGGTGAAAGATTAACGCTCTAGTACTGTCAGTCGTAGGATACTTGAGTAAGTCGTTGTACAGGATTTCAGCTTGATCGAAGTGACCCACATTGATCATCAGATGAGCCATTCGATACCATCCATTGCCAACGATCTCCTTTTTCATGTATTCAGTGAGGGCTACTAGTTGTGAATCATTGTCATCCGTCAGTTTCAATTGCACTTCCCATAGACGATTATTTTTGGCTGATCGCTCAATTTCGCCCACGCGGAATATGCTGTGCATCGAAAAGAGAACTTCTTTCTCTGTTTGTACAGCACTATCATGTTCAATGCAGGCAAATGGTGTTGTTGACGGTGATGTTTGGCTGGGATCAATTTTCATAATAAAAAGAACACCAACTTTATCTGCATCTCTACGTAGTGATTCTTCAACGAACGACATAGCTACTCTTTTATCTGTACTAGTAGACAAAAAGTTACTGAATGTCAGAAGTCCACCTTTCGTATCTTGAAGATGTTGGAAGTCCTTAGGTGAAAGTCCTTTGCCACGATACACAGTAAATTCTTCCTGGTAGGAATCTATTTGTTCTTCATGGAGTTGTTCCAATCGTCGATGAAGATTTTTAATAAAGAAGCCCATCTTTGTCATAGCTTCCGTATCGAGGGTACCTATAGCGCGATTGAGCATCCCATAGAGAAAACATTCATGAGTATACCACCAAACAGGCGATTTATTTTCGAATTCTTTCTTAAAATATTGCAATTCCGAATTAGAAATATTTTTACTTTGACAATAGACGATCAAGTCTTGTACCGCCTTTGTATTGTCTTCATCAATGTTCAGTATAATATCCTTGCATATAGAAGAATACATGAACGATGGAGGCAATTGACTGAGATCCTTTTCTCCAGTCGAGGTTGCTGTTGCTGAAATTATTTGGTTTTGGAGAAAGCTAATCGAGATTGTATCATAGTCAACTTGGTACATGATTTGTTTCAAATGTTCACAAATGGGTTTGATTGAAGTGAAAACACCTGCTATCTTTAACCATTGTTGTGTCCATCGCTTATGTCTTCCTTTGTTACCACAAAATATGTAAATAGTATCTAATTGCTGCATACTATGAACTTGTGGCACAAGATCTTGCCCTAAAGATCCCGATGTGATAAGAAAAACTTTCTCACGACTGGTATTAAGAAACTGGATACATTCATCGGAGTTTGTAAAAATATGCACTTCGCTAATGACATTCTGTAGGTATGAAAGATGCTGTTGAAAATTTTCTTCTGATTGGTCTATGGTGTCATCAACCCAGATCAGTAAGTAGTTTTGGGCCATTGGTTGACGTGTTTGCGATCTTTGATTTGAATTTTTCTTATATATATTGAATATGAATGAATGTTTGATCAATAATGTGGAATGATGAATAGTTGTTTATTAATCAGACAGCCATCACTCTTTTAATTTTTAACTGCTGAGTGTGTACTGTTTCTTTTTCTTTCTATCCTTTCTCGTGACATTCGCGCACACCGGCAATGATGCAAACCAGTGAAAGTCTCTTCAGCGAAAAAAATTTAAGCAACAGCATGTTTGCGTGAATTGCGAAAAACAAAACAGCAAAATGAGGATTAGAGTGGGTGACAACAGCTGCCATTATCTAGATTTCACATCAGCTACCACGAGGGTGGAGTCTATAGTCTTTTTTTATTTCAAACTGAACTTTGAAGAAAAATATCAGCCTCACTTTCTCTAAACAGCGACGGACTAAGGGATTTGGAAAAAGCGAAGCCCTTTCTCGAGGAGAACGGACAAACATCAATCCTATCATATTGAAAAGCAGTATTTAAAGAAAAAGATATTCGTTTGGCATCATTACCTTCTAGGGATGAACCTCGGACGCCTTGCAGAAATTATCGAAATATTAAATACTATATACACTATAGTCCTTCTTTATTTTTTCGTCGCAGCACGAGGTGGACCATATGGACTTAACAATCAATCATTCCTATTATGCTTTACTACCTATCCCATACCTATATGATAGGTACTAATGGATATTACATACCCTATATTGACATATAGGGTGTCTCTTCTGTAGGGTGTGAGTGTGCGTATGCGTGTGGCAAAAAAAGATAAAAACTCACACCCACACCCACACCCTTCTTGTAGGTATTCTGCTATGTGGTTTTCGACATATGAAAACAAAAAACCTAAATGTATAGATATAAATACCTTATAGAGATAACCTTGTAAACCCTGATTCTCTGTTACACGATTTAGATGGAGAGGATGTGTGGGGTGAGTGTGGGTGTGAGTGTGGGGTGTGGGTGTGGGTGTGGGTGTGGGTGTGGGTGTGGGTGTGGGTGTGGGTGTGGATAGTGTCTTCAAACACCCACACCCACACCATACACCTCCGCCCACCCACCCCCCACCTGCACTCACGGCCACACCCCACCCATACCCACATCCCACCCACACCCCACCCACACCCACACCCACACCATCTAAAAAAACCTCAACTTTATAAGAACGACTTTTGAGACAATTCTTTAAATAACCTCTCGACTGTTCGTGAGTGCTCATAAGCAGAATTGAGCTAACTTCACCAGCTCAACCAAATGCGCTAAAAATATGGATGTAGAGGTTTTAGATGATGCTAAACAAGATGAGAATATTACATCAAAAATCTCAATTGGGTGTGAATGTGGGTTAAAAGAAGAACCACATCCACCCATACCCACACCTACCTTTTGAACTGAGATCTTGACCGTTCGATTTTTTCTCTAGAAAGCATCTTTTATCTTTCAATGAACATGCCTACTTTGACGGTACATCACCTAAAATAGGTTGACTCAGATCTTTTCTTGTTTCCAGACCCTCATCAGCTACCTTTGGAACATTAAAGATTGAGCTCACAACACACTTTTCGGACAGGTTTTCATTCATTGTCTTATTTTTCTCCACACATAGAATCGACATTCCAGTCTTCAAAATGATGATGATTATTTCTCTCAAACGATGCTAAGTCACAGTTCGAACGAGCTCGCATTCTTGTATCAAATCAGCAGGATCAATCATCACTCAAATTCACACGAAACGAAAACACATTTGCCAAAATGTGTAGAAGAAGGGTCGGATGCTGGCCAAAGCTGACTTGATCAAAACTTGCGAAAGAGATTTCGCAGTATGCATTTGGTACTCTTGTTTTTGTAACCTCCACAATAGTGTTTCGAACATTTTCGCCGATAAAAGCATCGATAATGCCATACTCCACCTTAATATTGACTTTGCTGTTTTTTGCAAACGAGAAAAAACCCACCGTTAACAGTCAACAAAGTGCTTCATTCTCCATTTGTTTATCAAGCGTTTTATACAAATTAATGCAGTTACTCAAGTGTCCCTTATTCAAACACATCGTCTTTTCCGCAGAAAAATGTGAAGAAAAAATATGCACAGCAAGAAACTTTCATTTCGTATCTACGGATGACTCATGCAATGCAAAGCACACACATAACTTTTGCCAAAGGATACAAAGCAAATCCATTGTGTTAATATCAGTCTAGGGTGTGGGTGTGGGTGTGGGTGTGGATGTGCGTGTGGGTGTGGGTGTGCGAGTGGGTGTGGGTGTGGGTGTGGGTGTGGGTGTGGGTGTGGGTGTGGGTGTGGGTGTGGGTGTGGGCGT